CTTCCTCTGTTTTTTCCCCCTAGATATTGGCGGAGAAATGGATTCAGAAGCAAGTGCCAAAATATTACTCTCAAGTGTCGTTCTTAAAATATACGTGTCATTAAAAGCTCAGTGTCATCTGTATTTGAACCTTGTGTTTGATTTATTGTTTTAATTCTTTTTGAGCTCTATTGGGACTGGGAGTGACTATACTGCAAAGCATATGTTTTCTGCTATCCAGAAGAGGACACTGAAGAACAAGTAGTGGTTCCCCAATGTATCTGTAGACTATGACATCTAAGAAATTTGGGGAGATTTTCAGATGGCACACTAATTTCAATTTGATCACTGAAATTCCTGTAAATTATTCTGAAAGTTCACATGCTGTACAGGTTGTTATTTCCCGTTTTGTCTTCTTATGTAATTGTTATTACTTTAATCTTTCATCTTATATTGATTTAATCTTTTAATGTTTGCTTTGGAAAATACATAGAAGAAATCCAAGGCATTGACATTTATTAATTTGCTTAAGTTAAAGCATGTAATAAATTTATAAGATCCATGAAGGTCATCCATTATGATGTCAACTTCAGTATGATGAATTTTTCCCATTTGTGTAACTAGAAACTCATTAGTTTAAGAAATATTAAATAAACACCTACATTTTTCACAGACATGCTCTGTAATATGGCATGAAAATGTATGAATCATATGGATAATAACTTGTATGCATTCAGAGAGCAAAGAGCTCTTTGGTATAAACCATAGCTGACTAGCCTGGCAAATGTTCTAATTTGTTTATATTTTATCTATCAGTGGAGAAGAATGAACTCTAAAAAGAGGAATTGCAAATAAATATCTATTAGTATGTTTCTTTCATACTTCTTAGAGGAAAACTTTGAATTCTAAAAAAGAAAAAATCTCTGTGGTTAATAGGTACTTACCAGATAAGAAAAGAGAGAGAGAGAGAGGAAGGAAGGAAGGAAGGAAGGAAGGAAGGAAGGAAGGAAGGAAGGAAGGAAGGAAGGAAGGAAGGAAGGAAGGAAGGAAGGAAGAGAGAAAGAAAGAGAAAGAGAGAAAGAAAGAAAGAAAGAAAGAAAGAAAGAAAGAAAGAAAGAAAGAAAGAAAGAAAGAAAGAAAGAAAGAAAGAAAGAAAGAAAGAAAGAAGTTAGCTAAGTCTACTAAAAGTTAGTGGCCAAACTTAGCACATAGCTCAGTATTGTGCTATGTTGTTCAATACTTTCATTTAATATACTTCATTGCAAAGCTGCAATTCCAATTTTGCTCTAATGAGTCAATTAGGAAAGAGATCCTTGCATTCCTATAACACTGAAATAAGAGTAAGCTTACTGCTGAGCTGATGAGATGAAGCTAATTTTGCTTTAGTCTCTAATTGGCACTACACATGGTGGACCCTAGACCTCTTGAATTTTGAAGGGTGGGATAATGATGCTAGTGAAAAGTTTAAATTAGTTTAGCTCTCAACTAAAATTTTTTTAATAAAATAAGTTGTATTTATTTTGAATGTAACATAGAGAAGTCCTGAAATAGGCAATCCTCTGAAGAATAAAGAGCTTTTTTGATGGTGCCATAGACTGGATGTTAGTGTCTCCCAAATTCTTTTTTTTTTAATCCTCACTTGAGAACATCTTTTTCATTGCTTTTTTTTAGAGAGAGAAGAAAGGAAAGAGAGATAAAGAGAGAAACACTGATGTGAGAAACATCAATTGATTGTCTTTTCATATGCACCCTGTCGGGGGATAAAACCCACAACCTGGGTATATACCCTGACTAGGAATTGAATCCATGACCTTTTGGTCTATGGGATGACACTCCAACCAACTTACCCACACTGGCCAGGGCTGTGTTGCCTCAAACTCAAATTTTTAAGCATAATCCCTAATTGTGGGAGTATTAGGAGATAAGACCTTTGGGAGGTGATAGATCATGAGGATGAAGCCTTCATAAATGCCATGAATGCTCTTCTAAAAGAGACCCCAGAGGGTTCCTTTGTCCCTTTCATCATGTGAGGACACAGAGAAGATGAACCATAAAGTATTCCTTCAATAGACACTAAATCTGTCAGTGCCTTTATCTTGGACTTCTGAACCTCCAGAGCTGTGAGAAATAAATTTCTGTTGTTTTAAGCCACCTAGTTTATGATATTTTGTTATAAAAGCTTGAATGGACTGAGACAGATGGCAGTCTAAGGAAGCATCAGTATAGCCTCAGGTGGAACTCTTTACCTCTTGTACAGTTGCTAAGGAGGCCTGGTGGATGTCCTCAGCGAAAAGTGGGGCAGAGAAATGATCTGCCCACCTTGGGTTTAGTAGGGTCAGCAGATACACAACATAATGTTAATTAGAAATTCCAACTAAGGCAACAAGTATATAATAGCTATCAGATACCAAACTGAGTTATGAAATAAGATACTCCGAAGGACTTTGAAAGAGGAGAAAACAAAAACTAGTTATCTATCTTTTAAGCCTATCATCACTTTGATCTAAATGTGCAGAGAAAAGATTGAGAGGCTCGTTTATGAGGAGAATTTTTTGAACAGAGCTGTTCTGTGAATACCTTTGCCACCCCACCACCGTGGCTCACCCCCTGCCCCGCCCCACTCCCTTTCACCACCATGGACAGGGAATGCCTTGGATGATGTTTCTCTCTTCACCTCAAGTCAAGATAGAGGGCATGGAGATTACTCAAGAGCTCTTCACAGGTTCTCTAAAATTGGGTAGGGCTATGTATATTCAGGGCCACCTTATATGGGGAGCAAGTTGTGCTTTGCAGAAGGAAAACTGGCTAAGGGAGCAACTTGTGATAGAAACCCACCCACCAGTAAGCTTGCTAAACTGTGAAACAGCAGGACTGTATCTGCCCAAAGGGGATTCTTCTTATTTGCACAAGGTTCCATGTGGAATAACTATGACCTTATGTGTGTTGAGCACATTGAACTAGTGTCTGAATCCTTTGAGATATCTAAAGGTAGTTATGAAAGTAGGCTGGTAACTGCTCGTAGACGTAGTGAAGCAGAATTGGCTGAGGTGGAATTGCCCAGCACATCCGAGATCTTCAGGCAAACAAGGGTGTTTTCCATAAACCGGATGCAAATTAGGCACAAGAGGGAGCCTGTGAGGAATCATCTTAGGTCATGTCTAATAACATGAATGGGAGAAGCAATGGAATCTCAAGACAAGGCAGCTGTACTGATGGATTGTAATTAAGCAAATAAGAAATACATTTGTTTTCATTAAGGGACTTATAGGTAGTATAATAGCAACAATTTGAAGTCTTTAAAGAAGGTATGGATGTACTCCAATGGGCGGTCATCTTTAAATATTTGTCAGGCCTAGAGAATATAGGGCCTGCTTATGTCAATGCCAATCAGATAAGAGCTTCTCAATTCCCTTTCCTTTAATAAGCCTCTCCTTTACCTCCATCCTAGGAGGTGTCAAAAAGAACTGCTATTGAGTGGGGAAATAGATAAGCAGGGGAAAAGAATAGCTGAGTGCACCTTTTGGCCAGCCAGGAGACAAGTGACTTGCCTATAGAGTGCCTTAGCTGGATGCAGGAAAAATGGTTGTAACTTAGAATGAATACCAAAACTACGACTGTTACATGGGGTTAGGTATTTTAATATATTGAATTGAGACTGTTTTGTTACAAACTAATTGCTACATTTTACTATCTAAGAATGATCAGAAAAGTCATATAATTTCTTAAATTTTTATCCAAAGGAAATAGAAGCCTTTCCTCCATTGATCACATTTTAAAGAGATAGTTGGACACAAATTATTCTACCCCAATAAATCTTCAGAGTTTTTTTTAAACATTTAGTTATAAATCCCTTATTGCCTGACAATATCTGATGATTTAAAAAAACTAATTTTCTCCTGAAAGAACTCAATCTATTTTTTCAAGTTTTAAAAATTCCAAGAAATGTATTTTTGTTAGTCTAATATAATTGAAACTTATCTAAGATAATTTTAAGTTAAACATAAAGTTATCTAAAATCACTTGACTAATTATAAGAAACTATTTTACATTATTTTATATTATCTGCAAAATATCCTCTTTTTAAAATCAATAGCTCTTTTTTGTACCTTCCAGAATTCTACACACAGGAATTGTTCTTTGTTCTATATAACAGTAAAATTAATATGATTAGTTTTACTCTTCCCCTTCCAAGATGAATACTATTAATTCACTCAATGATTCCTTGTACAATATTATTTTCTAACCCACTCATTATTCTGATTATTTTTAATTTTAAGATTTCACAGTCCATTCAAGTCATGAACTCAAGGGTATTCTGAATAACGATAGTCTTTGAGTCTGAAGGTGGTTTTAGCCTCTTTCTGGCAACTACTTTCATTTCTCAAGCCATATTAGGATAACTTATCTGATTTCTGGTCAGGGCACATACAAAAATCAACCAGTGAATGCATAAATAATGGAACAACAGATCAGTGTTTCTTTCTCTCTTTCTCTCTTCCTCTCTTCCCCCACTTCTTCTCTCTCTCCAAAACCAATAATAATAAAAAATAAAAAGATATATTAGTCTTTTTTGACCCTTCATTGTTCTTTCATCTTGGGATTTTATTTCTGTTATTTTAGCCTTTCATTTCATAATTATCTGTTGGCTCATCCTGTAAGAAAGAGGCCTGAAAAACTGGCATTTGTTCAGCTTGAACAATGTTGGGTATGGTAGTAAAACAAAGAACCACAGTTATAAACTAAATGTTAACAAAATAGAAGATAATTATTAATACTTATAAATAATAGTTGAGGATGATAAGCAATTTTTTTTAAAGAACCTGACCAACTTACAGTTTTTTATTGAAGAGCTTGACCAGCCCTTAAACCCAACAGGAAGGCTGAGGCCCAAATAGCAAATCAGACATGCATGACAGTGGCCAACCCATGGACTTCAAAGGTAATATTGTTCTCCTTGGTCTTATAAAGGAATGCATCTGCAGGTCCTACAACATTGAGAGAGAGAGACGCCATGGCTTCTACCAAGATGTTTCTGCTCTTGCTCTCGGCGGCCTTGCTGGCTCTGAGCTCAGCTCAGGATATTGGCAATGGTAAGAGAGGGAAATAGGGATTATCAAAGTGATGATAGGCTTAAACTTCATGGAACAGAGTCGAATTGACTCTTCTCAGAAATTAAGTACTTTATTTTCAGAAAGTAGGTCAATAAAAGAAGAGGTAACATTAGTTTCTGCTTTCCAGTGATAGCAAATATTTCTCTGATCACCTGAGCCTAGGTCCAAAGCCAGTATCTTCAGGGTGTGACATCTGCTGTTTTTAGATTTATGGACTTTTATTTTATCTTTTATTTTGGGGCAAGAATTTTCTGGAATAGTAAAGTCATGGCAATGTGACAGTAAGCTATATGGCTGCAGATAGTTTCAATTCTCAAATTTTCTCTGTTGCAAGAGGTCTCATAATGTATATTTTGTCTACAATCATTGCAGCTCTCTATTTCATCATATATAATACAGAATTTATAAAATAGTTGAGTCCTTTTTAATCTCTGTTTCAGAAGCAATGATCAGATATTCTGCCTTAGGGAATGTTGATCGATTGTATGCAAACATATTGTTATTATTTTTACTCTTAGTTTTCTTAAGAATTTTCTAACTTCTTAAATCTAACCCTACTTGTCTTTCTACAAATGTATACCTAGGGTTTTAGCAAATCATATTTTAAATTTATCTACTTTTTCTTTTTAAATTTTAGGTACTGATCATGAAAACTTTCCAGGTAATTCCTTATTCAAGGAGATATTCTTTTCTTTTTGTCTTCAAAACTTATCATACTTTTTTTTCTTAGTGTTTGTCTTTTGAAAACTCTCAAAACTAAGTCTAGAGAGAGGCAAAAAGGAATGACAAAAGCCTAAATTTTAGTGGTCTTCAGTCTTATTGTTAGATGTGACCTATCCCCTTCCTTTTCACATTGGAATCTTCTGTGTCAGAGACCTGGTGTTTAAACATCAGTAGAACATGGCACCCTGCCCTGGCCTTGTGGCTCAGTTTTTTGGGCGCTGTCTTGCAAAGTGAAAGGTTGCCAGTTCAATTTCTGGTCAGAGCACTTGCCTGAGTTGCATCTGATCAATGTTTTCCTTCCTCTCTTTCTCCCCCTCTTGCCCTCTCTCTGAAAACAATAAACAATTTTTTTTTTAAAGAACATGGCACACTACTCACTTGTAAATGTTTTCTTTAAATAATACAAAGGCAAATGATTGAATACTACAAATCCCTCACATTGTTTACCATTGCACTTTATTTATTTACAGTACTACTATTTTGTTCTCCTGTTATCTAAGCCTTGATATCTGTTTAAATGGTAAGATATCTCAAAGTATGTGAAAGTTAAAGTCATTTTTAACTGTACACATTTCAAATGAAATATTTGAAATCAGTTTTAATGACATAGACGGGAGTGAGAAGGAAGGATATGAGAAAAGACAGGAGTGCTAGGAAGAGCTAATGAATTGTAAGTGATGTTACCAAAGAAGTAACAGAATTCAATAAACAAACATTTGGTTGCTTAGAGAAAACCTTTACATGCTTAATGGTTTTCCCCAGTTCCTTACTTATGATCATTCCATTTAGGTTATGATGTCATTTCATACTATATTCTTTTTTTGTTGTTGTTTCTTCTTTGCAGAACACCCTCAAAATGAAGAGGAAGAACCCCAAATAATAGGTGAGTTATTTTAATTCAATCAACTTATCTAGAATTTTTCTAAAAGAACTCTAGGAGCCTCTGGGTCAGTAAGCTAATCCAAAATTTCTACAATTTTTACTTTAATGCAAAAAAAAAAAATCATGCTTAACCTTTAACATTTTTTTTCTCAACCATTTTACCACATAGTTTAATCTTAGTAGTGTCATGTTGCAAAAGGAGCACAGAAGACCAAAAAAAAAAAGCAATGATTAGCTTTAGATTGAGTTCTCATGGGTCTAGAGAATATGGTCACTACTTTCATTTTGATTTTTTTTTCCTGTCTAAGTTACCTGGCCCTGTAACAGCATGACTATAAGGATTCCTGAGAACAATGCTTTGATGATTTACATGTTCTACCCCAACATTAATTTAATAAAATTTAATACTTAATAACTATGACAGAATCCTAGTCTTGATACCAAGGATGCAAAAGTAAATGAAACATTGCACCTGTCCTTAAGGAACTCAAGTTCTAATGGAAGATTTAGCTTAGACATGAAGATAATCACCTTCAGAAAAGTGGCCCAAAAAGGCATTATGGCAGCTCAGAGCAAGGAAGAAGAAGGAAGGCCTCTCACAGGAGATGCCATGTGCTCTGGATCTCAGAGAACGGAAGAAAGCAGAGTTAAAGCCATGGCTAAATCTATGCATATATCACCACATTTCAGTGGTCTAGGAACACTGAATAATCCAGGAAGGCTGAAGTGAATAAAAAGGTAAAGCTGGAGGTGTGGATTAGTTCCGGACTATGAAAGACACTATGAATGGCAAACTGAATTTGTAATTTATTCTATGGGCCACAGAAAGATTTTTGAATAAGGGAGTGATACAGAAAGTCATTTGTTGACCTGACACCAATGAAGAATAAGCAACTTGAGAGTACAGACTGTGTCTTTTAAGCCTAGAATCTCAGTGTCTGATTTAAGGCACAATGGGCATGCAACAAAGTGTAGGTCATATCCACAAGGGAATGATTGTAAGAGTGATGCCATGACAGATTGGTAATTACAGAATGGTCACAAGATGTAAAGTACAGCATAAGGAACATAGTAATATTCTAATAACTATGTATGATGCTAGGTGGGTACTGGAAATATCAGGGAACACAAAAGATTGTCTAACCACTATGCTGCACACCTGAAACTAATACAAAATAATATTGAATGTAAAAAATAATAAGTATACTGTTGATTAAAAAGAGTGATGACCATGAGACCATGAAGAAATGACTGACAGTTAATGCAACAGACGGTGAGGGCTGCGATTTAGTGAGAAATTTGCAAAAGGACAAAATAGAGAGTGGGCTTTATATATACTCTCTGTTTGTCTACACACTTAACAGTTGACAGAAGAGAGGGAAGGGTGGGTGTTATATGATTGCTCTGCTATTGGGAAGGGCGAGGTGGCTGATAATTTCCCCTGTTCAATAGATTTGTGCCAATCTATCATGTATATCTATAGGCAGACACGGTGACTCCACCTGGTGGTTTCTCTTAGACATCAGAGACAGCAGAGATATCTGCTGGTTTATAGATAATTTTATGTATATCACAGCAAAATTAGAATAGATGGCACTATAGAATAGGTGGCAAAAACATCAAAAGAGAGGAGAGGAATATATTACTTCTAACTAAATTTAGGCTACCATCTTCTTACTTGCCTCATTTAAGTTTATGGCTAACTTTTCTCTTTCCTTGTTTCTTTATGAATCCATTCTCTCACTGAAGAAGATCATAAACCAGTTGAAGAATCCTCAGAGGACTCACAAGTCAATTCTCAGGAAGAAGACAGAGATCAGCATGGCAAAACGGGCAAACATGAAAAAAATGGCCAAAAAGGCCATGGTCGGCAGGGTGAACCTCACAGCCAAAATGTCCAGGAAAGCCAGGAAAACTCACACAGCAGAGGTGGGGAAGGTGGCCAGAGTGGCCCTGGTAGCCAGAGAAGACAGCGTGAAAGAGGCGGCCAGCGTGGTCAGCGTGGTGGCCAATGACCAGGAAAACCAACTAAAGATGGCTTCCAGCGATGCCCTAGGTATTATTCTACTTTATTCATTAATCTAGTGAATTTCTCTGTAAATATTTCTTTTTTATTTTTGTTTCTGTTTATTTCTCTTGTTTTTAACCTTGACTTTAATCACTCAAACTGTTTTTCCAGATTTGTCTCTGCCACAATTCTCCTTGCCTCAAGCTTACAAATAGAAAAGTTTCCTCCATTCTTTTAAGAGCAAGTGTTACTTCTACCTTGACTCCCTTTACTTACATTAGCCTACAACTTCCCCAAGTTCTTCCTCTCATCCCACCACCTCTCTAATCCTCTCTTCCCTTTTTTTCCCCCTCTCCTGGCCTCCTCCTTCCACCTTCACCTCCCTACTCCTCCTTCTTCTCCTCTCTCTTAACTTCCTGTGTTGTCTTATAATGAGACTACTTAATAGTAGAGATACCAGGCATAGATCATGCTCAGGCTGTTATTACTTATGTCTAAAATCCTTCTCTCTGTTTCAGAACTGATAGATCAGCTGGTGACTATGGACTTTTCAGAGGTGTAAATTTGGCCTTTCGTTTCTCCAACTTTCAATCATCATTAAAATCATAAGCATTACATCCTGGCTCTTGTTTTACTTTTAAGGTTATGGTTCTCTGTCAAGGGACAAAGAAGGGCAGGCTGGGAGGCACAAAGCCCTGATTGGACTCCAAATGTTCTATACTGTGTAGCTTGATAAGTAGCTCAGATTTTAATAATTTTGTGAGGACTTGACTATCACCAATATTCCAAAGCAAAAAAAAAAAAAAAAATTGAGACCAGTAAGAGAGTTTGCCAAGTTCACAAGTTCACGCTACCAAATCGCACACCCTTTTCTCAGTTCAAACACAGCCTTTCAATGCATATGTGCCATATTATTACACTTCTGTTTACATATGGGATTCAGGAGGGCCCCAAGGGCCTGTTTGCCCTTGTCATGCGCTACTGAGGACAGACTCATTATCCAGCTGTCAATCAGACCAGCTTCCTCTTGGTTTAGAGACATGCAGATATACCTTGTACACTGAACTTAGCTCATACATGTTGACTCAACATTTTTTTTTTTTTGCATATATGGTATGAGGTAAAATCTGCCATAACTAAAGTAGGTGTTAAGGAAAGTCAGTGCTATGAGTTGAATTATGTCTCCCCAAAATTTACATGTTGAAGTCCTAACTTCAATATCTGAGAATGTGACCTTATGGAACTAGGGTTGTTGCTGATGTAGTAATTAGTTAAGATGAGCTCATTTGTGGAGTAGGGTGGGCGCCTAATCCGGTATGACTGGTATCCTTATGAAAATGGAAAATTTGGATATAGACATGTATACAGGGAGGACACCGCATGAAGATGAAGACAGAGATTGGGGTGGTGTAGTGGAAGTGGCGAGGCTGGGACAGAGTTTTACTCACAGCCCTCAGACTGAATAAACACCTCGATCTTGGACTTCCAGTCTCCAGAACTGTGATAAAATGAATTTCTGCTGTTTAAGCACTGAGTTTGTAGTATGTTGTTAGAGCAACCCTAGAAAAGTAATACAGTGAAAAAATTTACTTACCAGTTTTTAAAAAATGAATGAGCATACTTAGACTAATTATAACACATTTATTCCATCTACTTCCAAAGCCTTGGACTGAAGATCAACAGAGAGAGGTGTGAAGCATCCCTTAGGTGTTGGGCTCAATGCAGTCTGGCCAGGAATTGTGCCTAACCTGGAAGTTTTTTGTTTCTCTGATTGTCAAAATTTAGTTATGCCTATGGGGAGTCACACATGTAAATACTGGCAGCCCTAGAAGATTGACAATGAAATTAGGTGAGAATAAAAATGAAAGCTTTAATGGACATTTCTAATGAGGTATAAGTAGCTTGCTTTCAGTATTAGTATTAATGAAGAAGAATTTATAGGTTAAGGTAACAAACAAAAATTAAACATGTTTAATACTCTTTATTCCCACATTCACTGCCAGGTTCAATTCGGGAATCAGATCAAGAACTGGCCTTTTCCTTGGAAACAGAATTCATCTCTGGTTGTTCTGGCTTCCTTGGTACCCTCATTGACTTTCCATCCAGTTTCTGAAATAACGTCATCATTCTGTGGATGGACTTGAGTATGTTTCACAGTGCAAAATGTATGAAAATATATAAACCCTGGGGTTAGAAACATTTGAAAATGACTCAGGTGGGGAATCAAGAAGAAATCAGCAGCTTTCTCTTTACCATGCACACAGGTTAGGAGCCTCAGTTTTTATTTTTTCCAATTTTCCATTATTTATTAAAAGCATAAGGGAGGGAAGGTAAAATAATAAAAACCAGCAAACAGATAAATAACAATGATTTACTAGATAATGGGTTACTATCATTTTCATCAAAATACTATACAGCAAAGCTCATGGTCTCATACCCAAATCAACATATTTTTCCATAACACAGGTCTAGTGAATAGTCAAGAACACTCATAAATCAACTACTTAATGCCATGCTTTATTTTTAGAAAGAGATACCAAAACTTGGTTTTCCTGGTTAAAAGTTGCATGGTCAGCAACATTATCTTTGTTTCAGAGCTTTATTCCCCATTTCTTCTTTCCTAATATCATCCGAAAGAGCTGTCTTCCAGCCCACCAGAGGAAACTCCCAGTTTGCTCACATTAAAATAAATCTCTTTATAAAGAGATGTCTTTCCTTTAAGACAAAATTTTATATTAACCAATTTAAATCTCAGCCTAAAATATTTGCAAAGAAATGATCGTGGTATTCCACTCTCCAAAAATCTCTTTGTGGCCCATAGAATAAACTACAAGTCAGTTTGCCATTCACAACATCCTTCACAATGTGGAACTAACCCCATCTCCAGCTTTATCTTCCTATATTCCTGGGAAACATAGTTAGGTGGTGGGTTCTTACATTATATGCAGTCAGTCCTTGTTGATATTATCATGTCACCTACCTTTCTGATCCTTCATAATATTATGCCAAGAAAATTGCAGCCACTCCGCCTTATATACTAGATCCCCATTGTGTCCAAGCTTCATGGAGCTGCCCCAACAGAGTATTAGGACTGAATTTATGTCCCTTTGCCAAAATATTGAGCTCTGAGTCATTATTGAGGGTCTCCATGTCAATAAATTCTTCATATTCAAGTTAAGGTAAGAGAACTCCTTGATGTACCTCCCTCAAGACCCATTTCCAGCATGTTCTCTCAATCCCACAGATATGTTAACAACATGTGCTAATATTAGCAGGAAGCTATTTTCTTTTGGAAGAGAACTGTACTTACACCTAATTTGGCTGTGCTTAAACCTTGTCCCAAAGCAAAGAGGAGTAGTAGGATGTATCATGAAGAGAACAAATGTTAACCTGCCTCAGACTAAGTAACTGAACAGTTTCTGGGAGTGGGGAGACTCTTCTGCTCTTGGTACGTGGTTGGGGTCTGGCCCTGGTGGTCCTGAAGCTTCCGTGGAATCTAGGGGTCCCAAGTTTTCAGTCTCATCCACCTAAATATCCCTATTTCAGGTCTGAGGGTTCAATCTTTTCATGTCAGGGTCATGATTTTAAGATAATGGTTGTAGCAATTACTACCCCATCTTATAGTATTATTTTTCTCTCTATTGAATCATTTCAATTTGCATACACTCACTGTGTCATCCAATTTAAAAACAGAACCAGTGAAAACACTAAAATTTTACCTTGTTTTCATGCTCCATTCTCTGCTCTGCTTAATAACAACAGTTACTTAAATACTATATTTTCAGCATGTCTCTGCTTTCCCACATTTTTCCCCCCTTAACCTTTCCTACTAAACCTAGCTTCTACCCCTACAGTTTGCTAACATTGCTTTTGTTAGGGTCACCATTTACAGATACCTCTCTGCTTACAGTGGGATTATGTCCTGATAAACCCTTCATAAATTGAAGATATCCTAAGTTAAAAATGCATTTAGTATACCTCATGTCCCAAATATCATAGCTTAGCCTACCTTAAACATGGTCAAAACACTTACATTAGCCCATTAACCCACAGTTGGGCAATTATCTTGAGTTTTATTTCAAGAGTAATTGCCTTCCTCCACTCATCAGAAATAGGGGTCATGGATGGATGTTTTGTAGACTTAATGGGATGTGAAAACACAAGACACAATACCCTAGAAACACGGGCAACCTAATACACTGTAGAGTGTTGGTTGTTCTCCCTTGTGATCATGTGGCTGCCTGGGAGCTGCTGCCCAGCATCATGAGAGAGTATCATACCACATATCAATCGCCAGGGAAAAGATCAAAAATCAAACTTTGAAGTATGTTTTTTGCCTAAAACGTGTAGCTCCCACATCACTGTAAAGTCAAAAAACTTTAAGTTGAATCATCTTAGGTTGAAGTCTGTGTATATATTCATGTTGCCAAGTCCAATGGTAATTTTGCTACATCAGTTTTACTGTTTTGCTCAGCAGCATTTGAAAGTTGATCTGTCTCTCCTTGTAACACAATGACACTTTTTACTTCCTTTTCACCACACTTCCCTTGCTTCATTCTTTTTGTCCTAGGAGCTCTTTCTTGTTCTCCTTTTGCTGATTTTTTTTTCTCCTCAATTTCACATCTAAAGATTTGAATATCTCAGGGCTCAGATCTGGTGTCCTTTCTCTCTATATGTATTTTTAGGTAATCCCATTTACATGTTGATAACTTCCACATTTATATCTCTTTTCTCTATATTTAGTTACAGATTTATACATTCAATGATCTATTTGACATTTTCATTTTATTTCATAGATCTTTCAAACATATATGTAAAAGATGGAATTTTTGATCTCTGTTTCCCCACCTCTCTATTAATAGTTCCTCCTCAATCTTAGACAACAGTGTACTTTCAATTTCTAAAGTAAAAACTATGTAAAAGTTTTTTGAGTCTCCTTTTTCTTTAGTCCTCTCCCTTCATCTGATCAAGTAACAAGACCTACTAGTTTTAACCACAAAACATGTAAAATTCATCCTTTAAAAATGTCCTTAATTCTACTTCCACCAACCAAATCTGAGCCACCATGATTTCTCATAAAAACTACCTACTATAATAACATACCAGATAGTCCCCTTAATTGTACTTCTCCCCATATCCAACACACAAAATATCCATTCTTCTTATTAACAAAATGAACTTAAATCTACATGCAAATCAGACTATATTGCATGTGGCTTCAATTCCTTTAATGTCTTCAGATTGAACTTAAATATAAATTCCCTCTCATGACCTACAAGGTCTTCCATGATCGTGCCAGACACCCTTTGCTCACCACACTTCAGTCACTCAGACTTTATTGTCCTTCCTCAAACATTTACTCCTCAGGGTACTGGCATTTGCTTTGCTTCCTTTTGGAAATATTTGTCCATAATACTGATTGCATGGCTGGATTATATTTGTGATTCAAGTCTCAGCTTGAAATCTCATTTTCTTAAGTAGGTCTATCCTGACTATGTTATATAAAGCTATCCGTCATTTCCAGTTTTTCTCAATTGCATTAATCATGACTTGTGATTATTTTTTTTTGTTTCCTTGATCATTATCTGACTTCCAAAAATTTTCTATCGCTGCATATGAAAGCATGGACTTTGTCACATTTCACTTATACTTTAAGCAGTCAGTATGGTGCCTAACATTCAGACATTTGATGTGTGAGTGAATATCTATTAATTAAATAAGAATTAAAAAAACAAATAAATATGCTTGCATTCTCCATAATCCCTTAACTACTGTCTCTTGGAGAAAGCCTGGAAACTGCTCCAAACACTGGGAGTAAAAAAAAAAAAACATTATAAATGCTTCCTCCAACCTTAATGTATTATCACTTTTGCATGATTTCTCAGAATTAATAAAATCCCAGAAGATAAACCACTTACTTGGCTACATCACTTTCATCCTAGATTGCCAATAGAAAGAATTATGTACCTTATGAGGTCTTTGATATGGCTTCTGTTTCTACCTCAGCACCCTTTGCCTAGCTGCAGTCTACAGAGAAATTGAATGTTGAGGGTTGTACTGTTTGTAATGTAAGTAGATGATCAAGTTTCTATAGTCTACAACATGAAGACATTAAACATGAAGCTTTTGAGATTCCCACTAGTCCTCATGGTTTTTTGTTCCCGTGCCTAATAAATCCACATAAACTGGCCCGCTTAGCTGTGGGCAGAAATGGGTATTCTTTCAGACATTATTTTAAAAAGCTAAGTTTCAGTCTATGCACCTAAATTTATATTGTTTCTTTAACTTATAAGCCACTTAGCAAATATTTTTAAATTTATCAGTTCAAGAAATGTGTATCTTTAGCACTGCCAGGTTCAGAGAAGAAAAATTAACATATGAAGCTTAACATATAAAGTGTAAAAGTTATTTTGATTTTTACCAAGTTTATTGATCAAAATATTTATAAACATCTCTTCTGCATACAAAGTCCATGGCTGCTATAGGCTGGTTAGGAACAGAGACAATCACTTTAAAACATCTGTGTCACAACATAAATGATGTGTTTTTGATGGATTTTCCCAAGTAGATATCTCGTGTTGACTTCTATATAATCCAAATAATATCTTCCTGGTGTAGAGAGATGCTCTGTATTGAATCAATGTCTCCTTTGGTATTTTGACATTTTCCCATCTCAAAACATAAGCTTTTTAATAAAGGTCTCATTTTATCAAGGTATCTTGATAATCAGTGTTTGGTGAAGTCCAAAATAATTAGTTTGCTAAAAACAAACTTGCATATGTTTTTCATGTAAGAAATATCCTTCAATTAGCAATAAATAGTTCTATTAGGCTCCTTGTTTAGCCATCCTTATTTTATAGAAACTGTCTATATAAACTGTCCTTTTCTCACACTTCCAGAGTGTCTTTCTTCATTAATCTATGATCCTAAAGTAATTTCTGAATCCTCTGTGAGAATATTTATTTTAATGGCAATTTATGTTTTATTTATGATTATAATCAATATTAATTCCTGCTATATTCATAAAATTGCATAGCATTTTGTTAAGAACTGTAACCCTACTGAGTCTTTTCCAAAGGCAGAGCTTAGCTGGATGATCTGAGGCCAGCCTAGCCAGAACCACGAGGATGAGCCGGCTGCTTTTCATAGGGATGCAAATAACAGCCAGGTGCTGTTGCAGTTGTTCTGAATTAGACATGCGATTTGCAACTGGAGAAACGATTTAGAACTATGAAAATACTTTCTCCTCTCACAGTTAATATTAGGATATTAATGTCTATTTGTTCTAAAACATGTTTAAAAAGACCTCTGATGGGAGGGAGAGAAGTGAGACAAAGAGGGAGACAGAGAGAGACAAAGGGGCAAAGTAAGTTTTACGTGCGGTTTCCTAAGTTATAAATATGCAGAATACATTTTAAAGTAATCCACCATTAGACACCAACATTGATGTAGGAACTGAAGGTAATTAAGAAACATTTTCTTCCTTTGTCCTAGAAAATGATAGTCTGTCTTCAGATCTGTTTACGCTGTCAGAAATGCCTTCTTTTAAGTGCATGCATTACTTTACATAGCACCCTTTGAGATGCTTGTCTTAATTTATTGTTTCCCAGAATTAAGATAAATGAATGGCTTGAGGGATAGATTAAAGCCACCAACTCACCAATCATTACAGCTAATTCAGTCTCTGGCATGAAGTAACTGGAGGTGGCTATGAAAAACGACAAATAGTAGACAATGAAAAGTAGGAGGAAGGAGATGATGGCTTTCATGGCTCCCACGTGGGCATCTGTGCTGGGGCCTCTGCACCCTGTGGCCTTGAGCTGCATCTGCTTGATATGTCCCCACAGGGAGAGGATCAAAAGGAGGAATGAGATTAGGGACACCGAAAAGGGGAACAACGTTAACAGATTGAGATATACCTTGAAGGAAGCATATTGTGCTTCATTTTCCCGGCATCTCACAGTTAAGTTTGTTTTCCTCTTCGTTTTGACACAAAGCCTGAAATCATCACTCCAATTCCCAGTGACAGGAAGGCTAATAAACACCGAGAGGGCCGAGCACGCCAGCAGGATCCCAGGAATCGTCCTGTCAATCCTCCACCTCATCCAGAGGAAAAGAGGATGGAAGAAATTAGCTATCTTGAAGAAATAGAAAATGCTGAGACAGGTGGCAAACCAGACACTGACGTGGTTGGTTAGTGTCCAGAAGAAGTCAATGATTCTCATTTGTTTACCAGTGGCATAGATATCTGGGTACAGCACCAACATAAAAAAATCTAATAGTATGATACACAATAGACAAATTCTGGATATGGCCAGACTTGTGAGGATTAAATCAATGGAAGCCATCTTCTTATTCTTGATCCAGTCCATGCAGTTTACCAGTCCAATAAATGCATTTCCTAAAATCCCCATTGAAAACTCTCCAATTGTTACTATAATTAAGGTGTTGTTTACTTCATCCGACATGTTAAAACAGAGTAATATCCAATTTGTGTCTATTTGACCTGGCGTAGTATGATATCTACATCTACTTCTTAGATTTTGCTGTTATTTTCCTCACCTCTTTTATGGTAGTCTGTCTTATGTTGGAGACTGGAATGGCAAATGAAAACTGCAGCTGTCTTCATTAAATCCTAATTAGTCGACAAACAATGTGGCTGGTGATGCCTGGCCTGGTCGCTGTATGTCCATTTACCTTCCCAGTGAGTTTTACTTTTCCACATATCATTAATTTAGGCTGAGCTGCTGTTTGCTGAGATGCAAATTAGGCCGATTCACTATCATGGCCCCACACTGTCTCAGGTTACATTTTGCAAATTTTGGATTTATTACTCTGTGATGTATGCTAGTAACCTCAGTAGGCATGCCAGATTTAGCAAATAAAAATATAGGACACCCAGCTATATTTGAACTCCAAATACAACAAAAATTACAGTGTCTGGCAGAAGTAAGGTCTGCTTGAGTGCGGTTGATAGGGTAATAATATGGCTGTAATGATTTAGAGTTTTAATTTGAACATTTCACCTAAAATGTCATATGGTGTGCTTAAGTGTGATACTGTTATGTTACAGAATTACATGCTTGTGATTTTGTAATAAAAGATTTGTAATAAAAAAGGGGCATTATTTGTGCCAGACCTTGTGGGTTTTTTTGTTGTTTTTTTTTTAGTGTATGTCCCAAATACATGACATAACTACTTCCAAGATATACTGAAATTTAAATTTAATTGAGTGTCCTGCATTTTATCTGGGAAACCTAAACCTCAGGCATTTGTGGCAGTTACAAAATGGTCAAAATTTGAAATTTATAAAGAAATCTTCATTTTGTTGAATGATAGTATTAATTAGTGCTATAAATCCAAAGTTTGATTTAGCATTGAGAGCTATATTCTTCCAAGAATTTAAAAGGTTAACACTAAATATAAATTATTTGGTTCTAAAAAACATTTTAGCTCATTTTATCTTGGTTGCTTAGATGAAAAATTATATGGCGCGCCTCTTAAAATAATTCATTGTCTTATTAATCAAGTGATAATTAAAGGTCATTTAGTTTGTCATACTATATATACATATATGTATATATACATATATACACACATATATAGTATACATATATACATATATATAGTATGACAAACTATGTATGTATATGAAGGTGAAAGAGCCATAATCAAGGAGAGTATTTATTGATTACCTTTAGATTTTTCCTTTTCATTTAAAATGTTCCCAAGGGAAGTTGTATAAACAGGAAGGAAGAGAGTAAAAATCCTGTGTTCCATTCTTCTCTCCACCCTCCTCCTTACCAAAGAGCATCTGAGTATCTAGATCCTTAGCTCTTCTAACCTGTTAAGCAGGAGACTGATGAATACATTTATCTCATTTCTACAGAATAACTCTGCTTTTGAAATAGCTTCTCTAATTCAAGTTGCTGAGAAACACTTTACTACCTAGCATTTTCATGGAATAATTTTGGGATATTCATACTTTCCTTGGGAATGCAATTCTTCTCTCATCCTTTTTTTTTTTTTTTGATCTTTTTATTCTTGTTTATTCTATTTGTCCCAATTTTTCACCCTTTGCCCTCCTCCGTCCAGTCGGCCGAGCAACCAGCTCACATAGTCTGTCATTACAACATTGTCTGTGTCCATGAGCCATTCATACATGTTCTTTGACTAATCCCTTCCCATTCTCTACACCATTCCTCCTCTCCCTGCTTTCCTTGGTCATCTGTGAGTCTCTTCCCTGTTTCCAAGTCCCTGATTTTGTTTTTTTTTTGTTAGTTTATTTTGTTCATTTGATTCTTCTTGTAGTAAGATCATATGGTATTTGTCATTCAACCCCTGGCTTATTTCACTTAGCATAATAGTCTCCAGTTCCATCCATGTTGTTGCAAAGGGTAGCAATTCCTTCTTTCTTTGTGCTGCATAGTATCCAATTCTGTAAATGTACCACAGTTTTTTAATCCATTCATCTACTGATGGAAACTTAGGCTGTTTCCAACACTTGGCTATTGTAAATAGCATTGGTGTTTTGGCATTCTTAGGTATATTCCCAGCAATGGAATCACTGGGCCAAAAGGCAGTTCCATCTTCAGATTTTTGAGAAAATTCCATTTTGTTTTCCACAGTGGCTGAACCAGTCTGCATTCCCACCAATAGTGCACTAGGGTTCTTTTTTCTGCCCATCATGCCGGCATTTGGTGTTTCTTTCTTTTAAAAAAAAAATTGTTTTTATTGTTATTCAATTACAGCCATCCCCATTTTCCCCCCATTACTTTCCCCTGTGCTACTCACCCCCCCCACCTTCCACATTCAGTCCTCTCCCCTGTTGTCTTTGTCCATGGATCTTTTTACACATGTTCCTTTACTTGACACTTCCCCTTCTTTCCCCCATTAGCCCCCTCCTCCTTCCCCTCCAGTCACTGTCAGTTTATTCTTTATTTCCATGTCTCTGGTTCAATTTGCTTGCTTGTTTGTTTTGTTTATTAGGTTCCACTTATAGGTGAGATCATATGGAATTTGTCTTTTGCCACCTGGCTTATTTCACTTAGCATAATACTCTCCAGTTCTGTCCATAATATTGTGAAGGGCAAGAGTTCCTTCTGTCTTTATGCTGTGTAGTATTCTATTGAGTAAATGTACGAGTTGTTTGATCCATTCATTTACTGATAGGGACTTAGGTTGTTTCCATACTTGGCTATTACAAATAACGCTGCTATGCACATTGGGGTACATAGGTTCTTTTGAATTAGTGTTTCAGGATTCTTAAGGTATAATCCTTGCAGTGAAATCACTAGATCAAAAGGCAGTTCCATCTTTAGGTTTTTGAGGAAATTCCATGCTGTATTCCGCAGTGCCTGCAACAGTCTGCATTCCCACCAACAGCGTGCTGGGATTCCCTTTTCTCCACAACTTCACCAGCACTTGTTTGTTGCTTTGTTAATGATGGCCATTTTGACTGGTGTGAAGTGATATCTCATTGTGGTCTTAATTTGCATCTCTGATGGCTAGTGAAGCTGAGCATTTTTTCATATGTCTATGGGCCAACTGCATGTCCTCCTTGAAGTGTCTATTCAGGTTCTTTGCCCATTTTTAAATTGGATTTTTTATATTCTTGGTGTTTAGTCATATGAATTTTTATATATTTTGGAAATTAAACTTTGTTCAATGTATCATTGACAAATACATTCTCCCGTATTATTGGTTCCCTTTTCATTTTGCTATTTTCTTTAGCTGTGCAGAAGCTTTTTAATTTGATGTAGTCCCATTTGTTTATTTTTTCCTTTATTTCCCTTGCCTTAGGGGATATATCAGCAAAAATATTGCTACATAAGATATCTGAAATTTTACTGCCTACATTTTCTGCTTGGACTTTTATGGTATCATGCCTTATGTTTAAGTCTTTTATTCATTTGTGTTTATTGTGGTGTATCGTGTGAGTTGGTGGTCTAGTGTCATTTTTTGCTTGTACCAGTCCAGTTCTCCCAAAACCATTTATTGAAGAGGCTATTTTTTTAAATTTATTTATTTATTTAATTTTATTTTAATTTATTTTTTCAAATACATTTGTCTCTGCCTTCCCCCCACCACTTTCCCTTGCCCCCTTCCTCCTTCCCTCCCTCAGCTCTTCCCCTTTGGTTTTGCCCATGAGTCCTTGCTATATGTTCCTTGACTTTCCCCTTCCCTTCCTTTTCCCCGCCCCCGCTCCCTCCTTCCCTCTTGTCTCTATTGATTTCTTTTCCTTTCAGTGTTGCTGGTCTTATTTTCCTTGCATCTTTGTATTGTTGGTTAGGTTCCGCTTATAGGTGAGATCATATGGTATTTGTCTTTCGCCCCCTGGCTTATTTCGCTTAGCATGATGCTCTCCAGTTCCATCCATGCTGTCGTGAAGTTTAGTAGTTCTTTTTTTCTTTCTGCTGCGTAGTATTCCATTGTGTATATGTACCATAACTTTTTGATCCAATTGAAGAGGCTATTTTTACTCAATGATTTCAATTTTCTTGAATTTGTTAAGCCTTGTTTTGTGTCTTATCATTGTGGTCTCTCTTTGAGAATGATCCATGTACATTTGAGGAGAATGTGTACTTTGCTTCTTTGGGGTGAAATATTCTATAAATATCAATTAAGTCCATTTGATCTAGATTGCCATTCAATTCTGCAATATTCCTGTTGATTTTTTTATTGGAAGATCTATCTATTGTTGACAGTGAGGTGTTAAAAGCCCTTATAATGATTGTATTGCTATCTATCTCTTTCTGAAAGTCCTCCAATATTTTCCTTATATATTTAAGTGCACCTACAATTGGGTGAGTATATGTTTACAAGAGTTCAATCCTCTTGTTGGACTACTCCCTTATGTAGTGACCTTATTTGTCTTGCTATGGACTTTGATTTGAAGTCTGTTTTGTCTGATATAAGTATTGTTACCCCAGATTTTTTTTCATGTCCATTTGCATGGAATATTTTTTTCTATCCTTTCACTTTCAGCCTGTATATATCTTTTGTTCTGAGGTGGGTCTCTTGTAGACAGCATATATGTGGGTCATATTTTCTTATCCATTCAGTTACACTATGTCTTTTGATTGGAACATTTAATCCATTTACATTTAAAGTTATTATTTATAGGTACTTATCCATTGCCATTTTTCTCTTTCTCTGTTTCTTCTTTGTAAAGCAGAACCTTTAGTATCTCTTGCAGTACTGGATTGGTGGAAATGTACTCTGAGCCTTCTTTTGTGTGGGAAGCTCTTTGTCTTCCATTTTAAATGAGAGCCTTGGTGGGTAGTGTAATCATTGTTGCAGGTCCTTGTTTTTCATTACTTGGAAAATTTCATGCCAATCCCTTTGGTTTATAATGTTTCTGTTGAGAAATCAGCTGATAGCCTTTTCAGAGCTCCCTTGTATGCTACTAGCTGTTTCTCCCTTGTTACTTTTCACATTCTCTCTGTTTTTAAATTCTGCCATTTTG